GCACCTGTGAGCCGGGGCGGGTGTGGAGCCCCCCAAAATTGTGGTTTTGACCCCAAAAAACGGCAGCAGTGACACCTGGACTGCAACACCTGAGCCCCAGGTGGAAGGATTCGATACCTGTGAGCCAGGACAGGTGTGGAGCCCCCCAAAATTGTGGTTTTGACCCCAAAAAACAGCATCTGTGACACCTGGACTGCAACACCTGAGCCCCAGGTGAGGGGAGGATTCGATACCTGTGAGCCAGGCCAGGTGTGGAGCCCAAAATTGTGGTTTTGACCCCAAAAAGCTGCAGCAGCAACACCTGGATGGTGACACCTGAGCCCCAGGTGAAGGACTCGGTACCTGTGAGCCAGGACAGGTGTGGAGCCCAAAGCAGGAACACCTGAACTGCGACACCTGAGCCCCAGGTGAGGGGGGAGGACGGGGGTGATGTGACCCCGGGATGGGTGTGGAGCCCGAAATTGTGTTTTTGACTCCAAAAAACAGCAGCAGCGACACCTGGACTGCAACACCTGAGCCCCAGGTGGAAGGATTCAGTACCTGTGAGCCAGGCCAGGTGTGGAGCCCAAAAAACAGCAGCACCTGCAGCTGGAACACCTGGAGCACCTGGTGGATGAAGCTTCAGGTGGAGGATTCGGCACCTGTGAGCCAGGACAGGTGTGGAGCCCCCCAGAATCACCTGTGGACCCCAAAAAGCTGCAGCAGCAACACCTGAACTGCAACACCTGAGCTCCAGGTGAGAGAACCTGAGCCAGGTGTGAACCCCAAACTGTAACAGCCGGACTGTAAGACCTGAGCTCCAGGTGTGGACCCCAAACTGCAACACCTGAACTCCAGGTGTGAACCCCAAACTGCAACACCCGGACTGCAACACCTGAACCAGGTGTGGACCCCAAACTGCAACACCTGAGCCAGGTGTGGAGGCCAAACTGCAACGCCTGGACTGCAACACCTGAACTCCAGGTGTGAACCCCGAACTGCAACACCTGAGCCCCAGGTGAGGGGGTCCTGTACCTGTGAGCCAGGACAGGTGTGGGCTCCAAAAAGCTTCAGCACCTGGACAGGTGGGGGCACCTGAGCCAGGTGTGGACCCCAAACTGTAACACCTGAGCCAGGTGTGGACCCCAAACTGTAACACCTGGACTGCAACACCTGAGCTCCAGGTGAGAGAACCTGAGCCAGGTGTGAACCCCGAACTGCAACACCTGAGCCAGGTGTGGACCCCAAACTGTAACACCTGGACTGCAACACCTGAACTCCAGGTGAGAGAACCTGAGCCAGGTGTGGACCCTGAACCATAACACCCGGACTGCAACACCTGAACTCCAGGTGTGAACCCTGAACTGCAACACCTGAACCAGGTGTGGACCCCAAACTGCAACACCTGAACTCCAGGTGTGAACCCCAAACTGCAACACCTGAGCCAGGTGTGGACCCCAAACTGCAACACCTGAGCTCCAGGTGTGAACCCTGAACTGCAACACCTGAACCAGGTGTGGACCCCAAACTGCAGCACCTGAGCTCCAGGTGTGAACCCCAAACTGCCACACCTGAACTCCAGGTGTGAACCCCGAACTGCAGCACCTGGGCTCCAGGTGAGGCCCCGGCGTGGTCTCACCTGAGCTGTGACGTCACCGACAGCGGATGAAGAACTGGGAGACCCCTGGGGTTCACCTGCAGCCAGGTGTGACCCCAGACCTGCCAGGACTCACCTGAGCCCTCACCTGAGCTCGGGATGGATTTTTGGGGTGCTCCAGGTGCACACCTGGGTTGGGCGGGGCCTTCTCAGTACCTGGGTTTGTCCCCTTGGATGATGGTGAGCACACCTGGGGGTCACCTGATCACACCTGGGGCTCACCTGAACTCACCTGGGGCTCACCTGGGCTCACCTGGAGCTCACCTGAGCACACCTGGGCTCACCTGGAGCTCACCTGAGCTCACCTGGGGCTCACCTGGGGCTCACCTGAGCACACCTGGGCTCACCTGGAGCTCACCTGAACTCACCTGGGGCTCACCTGGGGCTCACCTGAGC